TCCGAGTCATCCTTATATGCTGAACTAGCATTTCCCTGCGACTTTGTCTGTATTTCTGATATAAAATGGGAAAAAGATAATTACCTATGTTATGTATAGGATTCAGTTATAGTAGTCTCGTTCTTCGCATGGGKTATGTTTATGGGTAAATATTAAATGCTGATTTTCGTAAACTGTCGTCTCAGTGCACTTCTGCACTCTCAAAATTCGAAATTTCATGCTTCTAATTTTGTTTTTAAGCGTTTAAACTCTATTTTATTTCATTAAAATTTGAAAAGTGCACTTCTACACTCTCTAAGGATCATATTTTCTAAATTTAATGTTTTTATATCCCTTTAAATGTGAACACCGTTTTATTCCCTRAAAAACTAATTTTCGAAAAATCTGATTTTAGTGCCCCTTTACACCTCTAAAGAATTTTATGTTTATATCTTTGTTTAAACATTTACACCCCATTTAACCCCTTTACAGATTGATTCTCTCTTTCATCCAAAATTTTTATTTATTTCTCCGTTTAAATGTTTACATACGAGTCATCTTTCAGGAAAACCAGCTTACTTACCATATATCGTACTAATGAAATGTGTTTCAAAAGATTTTTAATGCAATTTTATGTGGACTCCAAACTTTTGAAGCCTARYGTTAGTCCTACGACAAAAATAAATAGGACCATTTTTGTAGGAAATTTGTATGCAGAAATAGACAGACTTCTACAGAAAATTCTGCATAAATTACATAAACGATAACTATTCATAGACTCTTGTGACTCCCCCTACCTTTAATGAAGTATTGGACCCAGTAAATTCAATTTACTGTCAGTTTTTTTTTTAAATTACAAGACTAATTCTGTTTTAAATGCAGATAAAGCACATTTTTTTAAATGATGTTTTTTGTTTGCCCTATAACTCGCTTACGGTTAGTCCTACAACAAAAATGCAAAAGACCATTTTTGTAGGAAATTTTGTAAGGTTTAATTTTGATAAGAAGATAAAAACCTATAGGAGTGATAATTTCCGAGATATAAAAAAAAGACACCTTTAACCTCCTCCCCCTCTTCGAGCTCGCCCCCAACCATCCACCTTTTGATATACAGGGTGTTCCGTTTTTATTGTTACAAATTTAAACAGGTGACAGGATATTCAATTCTAAGACAAAAATTTTCTATAAACATGTATCGAAAAATGCTTGGTAAGGGAGCTACACCCCCTGAAAGGGGGCTAATAGGTTTTTGCTAATATTTCAGAAACCATTTAAGATAAATTTACAAAATTTCGTACAGATGATAACCTTTATACACCTAAACAAATTCAAACATCAAATGTCAAACTGGTGAGGTTTAGGGTAAAAAAATACCCTATCTATTTTGGCTTTAGTTTCTTTAGTTATGCATTGACCAAAATGGTGGTCACTTTGAACAACTCCTTTAGATTTAGGCAAATTCATTTAAATAATGTTATTATTGTTACTGTAATGTAATGTTAATTAGTTGAAGTTGATTAAAAAATATGAATTTCTTGCTTTTATTATTCTGTAAATTCTGATGTATTTAAATGTTGTATTGGTGTGTAACATA